ACAGATGGTGTCAGTTGTCCAATCTGATGATCCAAAAAGCCTCTGCTTGGACTGCACAAAGAAGGGAACATTTAGCCGAAGTAGTTTTAATTAAAGGTTAGTTAAAAAATACCCTATTTATTGATAAAATCCCAAATACTGGAACATACCACTTGTGAAATATTAGAATAAGTGACCCTCTGTGGTCTGTGGTTACCCTAGTCAATAGAAAAGGGGTTGATGTATTGCTATAGGTGTGTGAGCTTTGTTGTCCTTTTACAAGTCGTTGCCTGGCTAAAGCCTTGCTGTGCTCCGCTTTGTTCCGTCAGCCGGTGTAATGAAGGGAAGCACTCATTCAGTACAGTGTAGCAGCTCTCTCAGGGTGACAGCAGTGAGCGGCTGTACTGTGATACTGACTGACAGGCCCATCATCCCTTTGGTGCTCAAAATATCAACAATAAGCCTGCAAACACTGAGCGAGCGAGCGAGAGAGAAAATAATCCTGCATTTTTTTTTTTTTCTGTCCTTAGGCAACAGCTGGATGTTTATATTCTGTGTCACTGGGAGGCAGGGAAGCCGCTCTGCTGTTCTCTAAACTAATACAGAAGCCATGGCCAAAGCCTATTGAGGAGACGCCTTTCATATGCCCGTCCAACTCCCAGCCTCATTTGATGCCGTTCCCCGTGCTGTTAGCGGGGGCTTACATCTCTTCAATATTAATAGCCCGTGGTGGGAGGCACCGTGGCACTTAATAGAAACATTAATTATTCAGGAGGCCTATCTGGTGGTAGGCACATCTACTAATGTGCGAGTATGTATACAAATCAGCTCATGATGGGGGCTTTGGTGCATACAATCACAACCAAATTTATTAATAAATTCAGCCCACCAGGGGGATGTCTGCTCCTTAAAGAAACTGTAATCACGGAGAGACAGAGGCGGGGGGGCAGGCGGGGAGGGGGCAGGCAGGGCGCGGCACGAGTCCACAGACGCCGACTTTACCGCCAACCGCTGAGGGAGACATGCTGAAGTAAATGTGAAATCATTTAAATTAAAGCAGAGCTGATTTCTCTCCCCCCCCCTCCCACACCTGTAAACAGACGTGATTTCAGACAGCCCACAGGGGGCTCTGTTTCCCCTCTTCCCCCCCCTCTTTTCCTTCTTCCCACCCTCTCTCTCGGTTCACCTCCTCCGCGCTGTCCTTTGTTCTCTCCCGTTTTCTCAACTTCACCTCACTCAAACCCTCCATACGCTCCTCGCTCTCATTCACAATTTAAAGGAAAGATTCACCTCGCAACACCTTGACTGGAACATGAGAAAAAAAGAAAGCCTCGATATAAACTGCATGGAATAACTTACTACATTTGTGTGAGAGTAACTTTGTTTCCACAGAACTCGACGGCTCCCCGGCAACTTCAAATTTGATAAGTTGATGTTACATGAAAAAAAAAACATTTGCAATATCTTTTTTTTCCACTCTACCTGACATGGAAGACCCCGCAGCTTCTGCAAATGGACAAACTGAAATTTCCCCTCAAACAAAAAAAGAAATTGATTTCTGTCTCATCTTGAACCACGAGCAAGTCAGCAAGCGCCGACTCTGATTCTGACCAACTGGCACATAAATCTGATGTTCTCTCTGCAGATATTTGAAATGTTGTTTTGGAAGTATCTCGAGGTGATGTGAAGTGAACAAAAGCCAGAGGTTATAATCAATACGGACGATGGATGGATGGATGATTCAAGGAATACTGCACCTGAAACTGCTCATTGTGCAAGTTTACTTTTTCTTTGCATTGGTTTGTTTAGAGTATTTCTCACCAAGTGTCACTATCAATCAATCTTTATTTGTATAGCGGCAATTCATAACAAATGTTATCTGGAGACACTTTACTACAGAGCAGGTAAAAGACCTCACTCACACCCAAAATGAATCCATCATGAGCACTAGCAACATTTAGCTTAAGATACAGTGGCAAATAAAAACGTCCTTTAAGAGGCAGAAACCTCGAGCAGAACCAGACTCATCATGAACATAATGATCTGTTGAGACTGTGTTGGGCTTGGAAAAGTGGGACAGAGATGGAGGGAGATGAGGGTAGAGACAAACAGAGCAACAACAATGAATCACTGTTGTGCACAGGTAACAAAATGTGCTGTCATTGGGCGGCTCTCTAACACTCAATAAATGTTTTGGACCACAGAGCCTGACTCTCAAAATGAACAAAAAGCATTTTGATAATTTCCTGAGTTATTAAAATTGTGTATTTTCATCCTCCCCCACAAGATCACCACCTGCATATACAATCCTTATAGAGTTTAAGTTGCCTTGGTAACCGCATACTGGGCTCACAGGGGGGGGGAGTACGTCCTACTAAATGCCACTGAGCACGTAAAATGACAAACTGAGAGCATAATAGAGTTACACAAGAGCATAACTTAATTCTCTGAGATGAGTCAGAGATAGTATGCCTGGGAAGAGAGAGACAAACACACACACACACACACACACACACACACACACACACACACACACACACACTGAGTGGAGATGACAGACAGAAACAGTAATGGATGCAGAATTAAAAAAAAAAAAAAAGTATTACTGGAGCTCTCCTCTCCTCTCTCTCTGTTTCTGTCTTATCTGCATCCAGTAGAGCAAATCAATTAACCAAGTCGTTAACTTCACTTTTTAATTGGCTGGAGTTACATGCGAGTGCGTGTTTGAGGAATAAGAAGGGCGAATTAATCGATGCCAAGGTAGAAGGGTTTTTTTTTTCGCTGGGTTAACCACAATGCACTGGTGCGTTACCGAGCCCTAATTAAACAGCACGTCCTCCCGAGCTCGTCTCCCCTGTGACAGCACACCTCCAGGAGGGGGGCTTTGAGAGATGTGGCCTGAGCAAGCAAAGGCCCACTTATGGGAAAACAAATAAGCACTTCCAGGTCGTGACCCCTGGTGGTGCTGAGTTTGGAGGACATCAAACCACTGGGGGCCGGGATGCTGAGAAAGGCTCAGAGAGGAGATGGAAAACAAAGGAGGACCACACACGAGCCCGACTTTTCAATACAATCGTCAAATACAGTATATTGAAAGTATCAATAGTCCTATTCAGACTGCTGACTGTAGACTGATATTTACATCCCTGTGATGTCACATTCAATCTGGATGTTGCCGAGGTGTAATGGGGGGGACAAAGTGTTCCCCGGAGGCGTTACAGGGGCGAGACAGGACCAGCTGAGCAGCGCATGCAGCACCGTGTGCGTGCATGTCTGACTGTGTGTGTGGCGCTCCAGCTGTGCTGTCGAAACCCAATGTGAATTCACAGACTGGGACAACGAGGGATCAATATGAACGTACAAGGACGAGATGACGACTGAGCTTAGTTATGAGGCTTTTGCGGAAACACAGTCGGAAAAGTGCAAAAATAACTGTTAACTACAAAAAAGGGGTAGCTGCTTACGTAAGCAGAGTGGCAGATTTTCAGTGTTTTATTTTTAAAACAAAGGTACTTTCAATGAGATTGAATAACCTTGTGAGGTGACAAATTGACATTTAAATCTAAGAGCAGTCATTAATGCAGACTGCACAAAGAGAAGGCAGACGTCAAAGAGACCAAAACTTTGAAACTTTATATTTTTACCCTGTGTGTGTGTGTGTGTGTGTGTGTGTTTCATTTTTGCAGCCAGAGAAAAATAAAGTGTGCTGAGTGTTTCCTGGATGACTTAAAGCTCGTGTGAGGAGATGTTTTATGCAAACAACAACAGTCTGTAAATTAAAGAAAGTCTCCAAGAAAAGGAGAAAATACGAGCCAGGAAGACATCAAACAGCTACAAATCTGCAGGCATTAGGTGGGCTCAGCACCCCGGGGAGCCTCTCTGAGCCTCATTGGAATTCTCCTTGGGTCCAGAGGAAAAACAGAGCGGAGTAGAAAAAGCTGCTTCTCATGCTATAGCTCTCAATGACATCTCATTGTCAAGAATCCTGCACGTCTCTAAAGTGCTGTTATCAGAAGTATTGCGTAACTGTTATCCGGGTTGATGAGGTGCTTTAGAGAACACAAAGCACGTCTATCATTATGTAAGAGTATCTACAGTGTCAGCGATGACAATGTGTTATCTAAGTGTTGTCAACAGTATCCACACTTTGATACTTTTTGAATAACACGTGTATCAAACAATGAATTCATTAAAGCTCCTGTGAGGAACTCTCAGTTTGAGTCGGTTTTTAGCGACCCTTTGTACAAAGTGTTACCTCTAATCTCTTTGTTGATTTTGTCCTTTTACATAAGAGTGTTTTTTTTTTTGGTATCGTGAAAAATCTCATCCTGAGAAGAGTCAAGTGGAAATCTTTTCCGTGGAAAATGTAAAAAAAACAAAAAACAACTGCTTTTATTCCCCTCGTCAGACACCTACCCCACAGCAGAGCGTTGTATGCATATTTTTTTTTAAAAGTCGATATTTACACTGATGGTTTCTTCTCTTTTGTAGATCATAAAGAAGCATCAATATTAATTTCAGTCGGCCTCATAACCAGCTGGAAAACTCCTCACAGGAGCTTTGGACATCATTTTTTTTAACCATGAACCGAGCTTTTAACAATACAGAACTAACCATCAGGTTTAAGCAAAAAGCTGCCATTAGCTTAAGAGAGAGAGAGAGAGAGAAGCTGTGGTCGAACGCCCTTTAGAGGGAGGGGAGAGAGTGAGGAGAGAGTGAGCGATGTTTTCACAAACAAAGTGCTGAGTTAGAGGAATAAATCGTTATTCTTTGATTGGTTCTCAGCATGCAGACTCTCCGCATTATTTCAAACTCCTAAATTGAAGTTGTATTTAAGTTCTCGTATCATGAAAACCCTTTCCTTGTAAATTTCACCTCAACGCTTTATGATCCTCTACACACAATGAGAACTAGCTGCAGCAACCTGCACCTGAACCTGATTATAGCTCATTGATCTGCGCTCAATGTGTGTGGGCAGTCAGGCCGGACCGACCGACCGACAGAGGATTATGGGTGCTCACCTCGGTGATGCGTGGGTTGGTGCACTTGACGTTCTTGGTGGACAGGTTGAGCCAGCGGGTGGTGTAAGGGTTGATGGGGGGGCAGTGGTGCCGCAGGGTGCACTTCCCCTCTCCGCTGCACCAGCCGCACTGGAACTTCCTCTCCGCCTTCAGACACATGCCGCAGCTGTCCCGCTGGGCCGCACACTTGTACAGGTGCACTGTGGGAATATACAGTTAAAACGCGACAGCTGAAAAATCTACACGTGAAAGTCTTTGGAGAGTACATTTTGTTTAAGGTAAAACTAAAAAAAAAAAAAAAAAAAAAAGGTCTGCTGGGAAAGAACTATCCCCACCAGCTGTACGTCTTTTTTTTTTTACATCTCCCATATTTGAGGATAAACCTGTGATTAATATACCGTAAAAACATAAACACAGTCAGTATCTTTTCTCGTTTCCTACCTTGGATGTTTTCCGGGTTGTCAATAATGAAGTTGCCGTTCCACACCACCGAGAAATCCACAGGAAGCTCGCTGATTTTCATCCCCTCGTACAAATACTGGAGGCCGCGGAAGGCGAGGAAGCACGGGAAGGAGACACAAAGCAGAGGAGAACTTTAATGGGATGTTTGGGAATTTGAATTCCCAGGGTTTCTCGCAGATGCCGAGCCGCGTCCCTTCCAGTGTTGCCCCGGTGTTACATCATCTCATCATCGGAGAGCTGACGACGTGAGAAAAATGGGACGGCTGAGCAGGAGCCGGAGCTTCCCCTCTGGCCTGTAGGGATGCTGTCCTTAGCTGGCCTCCTACGCCCTTAACTACAGCCTGAGTTTGCAGTGTGGAAGTGTGTGCTTGTTGTGTTTAAAGAGAGTGAGAGAGAAAGAGGAAAATGTGTATATCTGGTGATCCTTTGGGAATGAACTGCATAAGTTAGTGTGTGCCTGACTGGAGGGCTGAGCGATGCTGCAGCCTCTTCAAGTGTAATAACCTCTGCAGCTTTAATGTCTCCACACGCGTACGTACACAAAAACACACACACACACACACACACAAATAATGCATCACCCATTCAACCTAATTTGGCAAGTTCTGGGCAAGTATCACGCCGACCCACCGAGCTGTTCTGGCACTGCACGCTGGAGCTGTTGAAGCGCAGGGCGGTGACTCTGTGGCTGACCCCCTGGATGTGGAGGACGCACTCGTAGCCTCGCTGGCCGGACTGGGGCTGAGGGAGGTTCCTGGCCTTCAGGGTGATGGGCTTCACTTCCCCCACAGGGATCAGGATCTCCTCGGAGCGCACCAGCTGGGGGCAGTCCTGAGGGAAGACAAACAGGAGGGCAAGGGAGCACAAGTCAGTGGAAAACTAAAGTGTTGCTCTTTTCGGTGTTTGGGTCACCGAGGAGAAACAACATTTAAGAAGATTGAAATGTGCAGAATAATGAGCCTTCCTGCAGCTGGAATAGAAAAATCAACCGTTCTATTTTAAGAGCTACTCCTATGAGCTTACAGTATGTCAGGGCTGCTTCTGGAAGTCTTTATTGCAGGGCACCACTGAGTGCTCCTACACTGCAGGCCTTGTGCTCTCCTTTGTAATGATTAGAATTACAGCGTTTTAGTTTGCATCTGTTTTCTGGATGTGTGTGTTTGACTTGGCATGGTTTACTGTGTTTGCAGAGTTTTCTGTTACTGCAGTTTTTTCAGCTTTTTGTACCTAACTTATGCCTTTGCAGTGCATTTCTGTAGTTGCACTTAATTTGGACTTTGGCATGCATTTTTTAATATGCATCATTTCTGAATTTGCTGCACACTTCTCTTAATGGACATTATCGGCGGTGTTGCAGGGCGTGTACTTTATTCACATTACTCATCTAAGTTATTAAGATGATTTTCATGCCACAATTTTCCTGGCTTCATTTATTGTATCCAGGATATGATCAAAGTATGCTAGAGAATCATAAGGTTGAACTAAAATCTTCTGGATTACCTTTGCTTATTTACGATAAGAAACAAATGCTTATCGCTACACAGATACAACACACATCTTTTCGGTGAACATCACCGTTCTAGTGAAAAACAAACACACAATCTGAACTAAAGTGGATGCAATCATAAGGTCCACCTGCATTAGTAAAAATCAATTATGTGAGGATATGTAAGTTCTCTAAGATCTACTTAACATCATTGCTTTTAAACGAGATGTACTCTCAATTTAAAAACTCAAGGAGCGGTTTGTTAAACTTCTACACAAGTAAAAAAAAGTTTAGAAGAGAAAAGACACTCGGGCAATACCAAAGTATTTTCTTTTCAAACAGTCAGATTATCATAGAAACACACTTAAGCCATTTGTACTTCCTGCACGGGATTGAGTGGGTCAGAGTGATCCTGTGTCATTGTTAAAGACACGCTAAGCTCGATAACTCCACAGATAATAGAGTGTTAATTGACGCTGCGGAGAACAAGAGAGCTGAGTGAGAAACGCCAATGTGGAAATAGAAGAGCTTTAGATGGCTGTCTTTCTGAAGACATGCCCCGAGGCTGACTCTGAGCTGGAAGACTGAGCAGGATGCAGCAGGCAGGAGGAGAGCGAGCGAGCGAGAGAGAGAGAGAGAGAGAGAGAGAGAGAGAGAGGGGGGCTAGCTAGCCTGATCATGTGTATGTTTTTGTGCACTTGTGTGTTTTATTTTGCATGTGTATGTTCGTGTTCCACCCACCTCGGAGGCGTTGACTCGTCCCTCCTGGAAGGAACAGCTGGAGGGGTCATGGGTACACAAGTTGCGGTACTTGCACCAGTGGCAGCGGAAGGCACTGTTCACACATGACAGACACCTGCGTGGACACACACACACACACACACACACACACACACACAGTCAGGAAAAAAAAAGCGGCAGAGTCAAGGAGAAGCAGCTAGTTTGCCAAAGTGGGGGGAAGTGCCACGGAGGAAATGAGTTAAGATCCCAAGTGGGCACCTGCTGTTGTTGTTGCCCTTGTGGTTGGCACGGTACCTAAACGCTGCCGGGGCCAAACCCTCCCTGCATATATTTTCTTCCGCCGTACATTAATACGCGTGTCATGCGTTCGGGTCGGCTGAATATTAGCCTTCGTAAACCAGAATCAGATGGAGGAGGAGAGACAGGGAGCGAGAGAGCGGAGGAACGTTGAGTAATGAGGACAAATAAGACACTGGCGCAGCTTGATCCTGCAATTACCATTAGCTCTGCATTGTCGGAGTGAGGCTGTAATTACCAGCTGTTAGGTGTGTGTCTGTGTGTGACAAATGTTTTTAGCATGTACAACATGTTTGTGTGTTTATGTCATTACAGGGGGGTATACCATATTTGATGTTAGTGTAAGAAGTCTTTAGATCAAAGGTAAGATTTAATAAAGAGTTTCTTCACTTTATACTTTCAATCCCAAAATGTTAACACAGATGTGTGTACTTTCGCTTCCTTATACTTTTAAAACAGGCTTTACAACATAAGCTTTGAGGCATTAAAGGGGAATTATCTTTTCTCTTAAAATGCAGCATGGAGCTCCAGCATTCTACGACTACCTGTGATTTAAACCTGATGTGCTGGAACAAAAACACATAGAAACGAGGATTCCTTGGCATATCCATCAACACGTATCTTTTAAAATAGACAAAAAAAAAAGATGCAAAAGACTTTTAAACTTAAGCTAGCACACTATTGATGTTTTTAAAACTCGCATTAAGACATATTTATACTCAATTGCTTTCAATGTTCAGTAACCCGTCAAGCATAAAACCCCATAGTGTTACTCTGGAATCAAATGTCAATTGTTGTTCTTGTCTGTTACTTTCTAATGCTTTGTTTCTGCAATGTTCAGCACTTTGGATCAACTGTGTTCTGTTTAAAGTGCCATATGAATAAAGTTGAGTTGAGTTGAGTTAAGCAAGGGGCGCAGGTGTCATGTGAATGTGATGTCTGCGTCACACAGGGAGAACATGTGGCGCCTTGAACGGAGGTGGACCCGCAAACATTTCTGAAATCATTGAAAGCAGATTCACGGCTGATCATCCAACTGATCATCTTTACACTGGAGGGCATTTCTGTGATTATATTGTTTTACTTTAAAGTTAGACTGATTTCAGTTCCATTGTTTCCCAAAGCATGCCGCGAGGTCCAGCCAAGTTTGCACAGATAGAAATGTCCTTAATGAGGGCTGATTTACTTTAATACTGTGAGTACTTTCACAGCCTGTATTTTAATAAAGACAGTGACATTTTTGCCAAATCTGTTTTAAATCCTAAATTAAAATCTCCCCGCCAAGCTGCATGAACACAAGTGAAAGTCTCGCATTCGTTTTGAATTACCGAGTTATTTCACACAATGAAGTTCTGTCAAAGTGTATGATACACATGTATGAGGGGACAAGAAAACAGTAAAGTGACAGCCTGAGGCTATAAGTCCTGACACTTATTGTATGCTTCTCTCACAAACACGGCTCGTACTTTAAATTAATTGTGATGGCATTTACAGCGCAATGTATTCATGAAGAGTTGTTCAGGAGTTGTGTATTGTAGTCTCACTTGGCTCAGCCTCCCTATCTCTCTCTCTCTCTCTCTCTCTCTCTCTCTCTCTGAAATACGTTTTCAGTTACACACACTTGCTTACTGTGAAATATTAATCAGTGCAAAAGCTTGGGAGGGAGCTCTGGCGAGCGCACTAATTCAGAAGAATGGGGCTGATTCACCTTCTGGCAATCGGAGAGTACACTATGTGTGTAAGACTGAGAGGGGGGGGGTGAGAGAGGTAGCTGGCATCAGAGCGTGCAAGGGAGAGTTTATGCCCTTTTCAAGTGTATGCATCTTTCTTTGCGTGTCTGAGTGTGTGTGGCTGTGTGCACGAGTGTGTTTGTCGCTGGCGATTAACTGGGCTGATGTGAGAGCTGGTAATTGCTTTCTTTGCTTTCAAACAGCAGACAGCCATATGAAGCTATAAGGCAGAGTGTGTGTGTGTGTGTGTGTGTGTGTGTGTGTGTGTGTGTGTGTGAGAGAGGCAGGGTAACATTGCCAGCTTTTATCTGGCAAAGGAGACTGTGCCTACAACATTTGGTTTTACAGCCGAGGGGATAGTGAAAGGCTAATATGACGTGCTAAGATATCTGCCCCCCCCCTCCCTTCCCACCCTGCTAGCATCACTGCTGTGATGTCCTCAGTGTTCTTCCTGTGATACTCCCAAGTCATCAAGGCCTTTTGGATGTAGCTCAAACAGAATCTGCCACCGTGGAGCGAAAGCGAGCAATCGCAAAGGCAGCGCCGACACCGAGATCTCTAATTCAGGGATTCAATCCAGCATCACTCTATCAGTGACAGACACGGCATGAAAACAGGCATGAAATCCCCACTGAAGACCTGTTAGGCAGAGAAGGCTGCGTGTTTTGTACAGCAGCGTGTCTGAGAGGAAGGCTTCATTAGCCAAAACAGCACAGAAACTTCCTGTTGTGGTGCTCGGGGAGCATTCAGCGATCAGATTACATTAGTCTTTACAGAGGATATTTTAAGGGCCAGCTTAGGTTAAGGACAAATTGTAACTAATTCCCAAAGCATTGATCCAGTGGGTTTTTTGGGCAGCAGGGCTGGGGCTTTGTTTTTATGGATTAAAAAAAGAATGAATGGGAGCGAGAGAGCGAGAGAGAGAGAGAGATACTCACAGTTGGTGAACACTGCAGTTGTAGAACTTGACCTCTGTGCTGATGAGCATCTGACCCGTCTCCTTCGAGTTGAGTCTCAGCTCAACGCCCGACCAATCTAAAAAAAGAGATAGAAATATTTGATGATGTGCAATGATGTGCAATTAAAGTGCAGTGACATACTTTTTTTTTTTTTTTTTTTCATCTTTTTTGCATTGTTTTGAATGCACCATTTATTTTTCTTCATCAAGCATATATGGTACCATCTTTCAGTGCTGTGATTGGCTAAGAAACCTATGAGTAAAACTTTAATAAGGAAGATCACCCTAATGAAACTAAACAGGTGCATGGTTGTAGAGAGTTCTTATAATGGTCAAAGTTTGGTTGGCTAAAAGCTCCTGTGAGGGACTTTTGGTTTGTGTTGATTTTGGCGCCCCCTATGGACAAAGCTGTACCTATTTATGACTTTGCTGAATTTGCACTGTAAATGTGTAAGAAGTGTTTTGTTACCAAATATATATATATATATATATATATATATATAATCTATGACTCATCCAGAATCTTTGTGAAGGAATAAAAAAACAATGTGTAGCGTGCTATTATCAACTTGTCTTGACACCTACCCTGCAGTAGCACCTTCAGGCACCTAAAAAAACTAAATGGAAATGAACCAATCTACATACTGATGGTCTGGTTTGCATTTGAGGCTCATAAAGGGGCATTCACATTAATTCCAGTCTGTTTCAGTAACAGCACAAATCTCCTCATAGGAGCTTTAAGGCACCGATGCTGTCGCTGTAGAAAACTTGATACTCCATACAATGTAATGACCCCTCAACCAATAGAAATCAGTTTTATATCTGTCTTTTGCCATTAGATTCCTAAAAAAAACACTGAGACAGAAAGAAGTATAGATACATTTTGTAGTAGTAGTTTGGTCGCAAGATATTATTCAACAAGGACTTTTACACAGAACACTGACAGCAGCCTCTTGTACTGCTGGGTGAAAGAGCTTACAGTTAGAAAGCCCTAAAGGCAAACTTTCATGTAATGGATACCAGCCAATCACAGCAGAGCAGTATAACCCAGTAACAGCTAATAAGTGCAGGATTACAGGAATGTCTGGGATAAGATGTGAAGCATTGAGGACAGAAAACATCACTAAATCTTATTTTTATTGGTTAGATTTTATGAGCTGCATGATTTGGCGTATAAGTTAGTGTATTAAATAAGTAAAAACGTATATACTCTTGCATGTGTTGTATGTACACAAGCCCAATCTAAAGAAACCAGGCTTATGTATAAATATGTGAGGTAAAGTTTGATTTTTTCAATCAAATAAGATCCATTTATTCTGATCAAATTTAACTTTCCTGCATCTCGCTGAACAGAGTTTTGGCTGTGCATCTGTTCTTTTTCAAAATCAGCCTTTTATCTCTTCCTACGGGGAAACAGACTCCATAAATATGTGTGTGTCAGAGTGTGTGTTTTGTAAATGTGTATGTGCAGAACAGCCTGAATTTCAGATGACATTCAGTGTGTAGGAGGCTTGAATGACCCTCCGTGCCCCGTTCTCTCCGCAGCACCTGTTGGGAATCAGGCTCTGTTTCACACAAGTCTGTTCAGCAAGGAGAGCTGGGCTCATCGCTGACTTCTACTGTTACACATTAGTCTCACAGGATCCGGCAAAAAACAGAGTCGTGCTGAGTTCCCGTCCACGCAAAAAAAAAAAAAAAACTCCTGTAGGATTCTGGTCTTACTTTGCGGGGATGAGTGCCAAATTTTTTTGTATAATTTCAAGCTCAACATCATCAACATCCCTCCTGCTCATTTCATTTCTCCTTTTCTGCACTTTTAATCTCATTTCCTGCACTCATTTCCTCCTCTTCTTTCCTTCAGGACATTGCCACTGCACGATCGATGTTGATGTGCAACAGATAGAAAAGCTTGCTTAGGGACAGAAGATGGAGGAGGCTGGCGGGGAGGTCAGGAGGAAGTGGCCTCAGGGGGGGTGAATGTAGAGTAAAAACAGCCAGGAGAGGGGACAAAAGAGGAAGGGAAGGTGGTCAGGGGGGGGGAGGGAGGGAAAGGAGTGTCAGGCTGGATGGATAGTTCGATGGATGGATGGATGGAAGAGCTTACAGGGGGATTGGCTGACATTTACCTAGGGGAGAACAGTCATATTAGCGCCTGATGCAGCAGTCCCCCCATGGGAGCTCTGGGCAAACAGGCCTGTCATTTACTCACAGGGAGGAGGATTACCAAACCCCCCAAAACACACACACTGATTTCCACACACGCCACATTATATATTATTCAGGGTGTTTGGCTTCGACACCCTGCGGCCATCTTGGCTCGCAAACAACAGGTATTTACTGTCAGACAACAGGTGTTAGTATTCATAATGATATATGTGTTTGCAAATAAATAAATGCCAGATCTGCGGTGGTTTATTTACTGAAACATTGCTGGAGGGATGCTCAAAAGGTCAGCAGATTTCTATGAATAGTATATTAGAGGCGATTAGCATATGTTTATCCTTGGACTTTTTTAGCTGGTTATAGATACTTTACACCAACCATTCATGTGTTCTACCCTGGACTTGTTCTTTTTAGATGAAGGGGAAAATAGCTGATTGGATCTTTTGACCTCTGTTGAAATACATGATCACACTTGAGGGGATTTAAAGGGGCTGTTCAAATTTGCACACGTTTGAAAACTGGTGACTGTGGGGGTTAAAGTATGACCAGAAAAGCTTCACTGCTAACCCTACAAATCTTCAACCAAGTAGCCTTTCCACTACGTTTCACTTACATGTACAAACTTTGGTAGACACGTGCATCATGTCAAGACCAACAAAAAACCCTCTTGGAGCTATACCCAAAACTCAACAGGCGGTCGGCTATTTTGGATTTTATTTGTGTTTATTCGGTTGTCTAAAAGGTCCTACTTCAACAAACTCATCCAAGGAGACTTAACCAATCCAGCTCAAACATGGCCAACAGATAGAGAAGTTAATTATGATTTGTAATGCAGTCATGCTTCATTGCCATGGCAACACGGCTTATTGGGATGTGTCCCAATCTGACCCAAACTTTTCCCAAGTCCTTGTTAAGCTCTTGGTTTTCTTATGTTTGTTTGGGTTCTTTTGTTGTAATGCTTCTTATTCTTTTACGGAGAGCAGCCCAGAATATTTCAACAAAGAACGTGCCGCACATTGTTTCACATTCATTTTCAAAATGTGGTCGCCATATGTATTAATACAAGGCCAATATAAAGGCCTCACGCAGCTAAACCCAAAAGGGAAGCTGTCAATTTATTCCAAAAATCATTCAAAGTCAAAGTCAAACACCTACTGGTAAGAGGCTTTGTGGCTTGTGTGGCGGAAACAGCATTCATATTGACATTTACACTGCATTGTCCACACTTTGTTTCCATAGCAACGTAATGTATATGAACATGTTTTTGTGCATGCAACACAGCGGACACACGAGGTGATATTTCACTCCTTCAGGCAGAGTCAAAACCACATGGACCTTTCAGTTCTGCCTGCAGTTTTAATTAAATGTTTTTTTCTGTGTGTTTTTATCACGTATCACTCACAAGCAAACAACAGACTTTAACTTGGCTTTGATAAGACTCTAATCCTCCACATCAGCTTCCCCCATCGTCCCTCAGCTGATTGAACTGCATGACAGACTAGTGCCTATTAGCCCTATCTGAGGGCGGTAATGTGGTGATCTGCAGCTCAGCCACAGGCCAGGGGACCTCAATCTGATCCCCCGTCAGCTCTAATGGGGCCTGGCCTTGTGTGTAGCACACTTCACAGTCAGTCGACTGATCCGGGATCAGCAGGAGTTTGTTATTGGGACGGGTGCCTGCTTAAACTCGGTTATGTTGAATCGATGAAGAGGGTTCAGAGTGTGTGCAGATGATCAGCCCAATGCAGCATGAATAACAGACAGAGAGGGACAAATGGGGATCTTTCAAAGACTGTGTTCTCATCTTTTGGCCAAGATCAGATCAGAGCAGTGTTGACTGGATAGAAAATTCTCTTTTCTGGATGCACACTATTCATCAGATTGTTTTGGGTACCTTGGTCTGTGGGGATGACGGGCACGTCCTTGGCAGCAGGAGACACACAAAGTATCTGGTTGCCGTTGACCTGACCCTCTACCTCCGTCAGGTTGCCAAAGGAACAGGTGATGCCCGCGGAAAGGTCTGGAACATGGCTCACTCTCACCAGTAACTGTACGAGAGACAAGAAACAACAACGTTTAAAAGATTCGACAAAAGTTTGAGGCCTCAGATTTTATTGCAATATTTCAGTGAAACTGGGGAAACATTTACTACTGCACATGCCTTATAGCGGTGAGAAATTGCATATTCAGTATAGATGATATGATAGGGAAGATGTTAGAAACATAGCAGCTTGAAGTACAGCAATGAAATAAGCTCTGAACAGAATGTAAAAAAGAACACTCTGCCGCTGGCAAAGCTGTCCGTCCAGTTTGCCAAGAAGCTCTGCTGCTTCTTAAAAATGTTATCAGCACCATAATAAGAGAAAGAAGGCGGTGATTAGATCTTAATCTAACTGTTTTCACTGAGAGTTTCTCTTCAGAAGTAGGAGCCGATCATTTTGACTCAGTCAGTGGTCGAAACTAAGAAGAAGCTTTAAAAGGGGAAAAGAAGGATAAAAAAAAATGACACAACTAATTCTATTTTTGTGCGCTCTTACTTTGTCTCTCACAAGGACACGTAGTTGCATGAGACACAAGCAACAACAACAAAAAAAACACCACACCGCGCAATCACACACGATGTACTCTGCAGCACACACATGCGGATGCTCAGAGAGGCGTTTGAAGTCGTTCTCTGGAGAGCAGTGACACCGGGGCTGGAGCGCTCAGCTGCTCTGCCTATAAATAAATGTATTCTGCACGCACTGGCTCTGAGTGTGTGTGTGTGTGTGTGTGTGTGTGTGTGTGTGTGTGTGTGTGTGATCCAGCTCTCTAGCCAAGAGAGGCAGCCTGGATAATTATCACCATGGCATTTCACATTCTTGTTCCATTAGCTGTTATTTTTGGGCCATACCGTTTGAAGTTTCTCTTTGTTTTATCTGCCTCTCACTAAACGCCGCGGGGCTACTGGGACAGGCGAGGCAGCTGAGCAGCTTAACTGTACGACTTTTCAGGAGATGCTGACTGTCTCTGCAGCCGACTACACGGCCTCCCTCGTTAGCTGGCTTACTCCTGTACCCATTCAGAGGATATATGATGTCTTTTCTTTTTTGCAGCAGCAGCAGAGGACCTCTCGCCTTCCCCTGTTTTTACTCACACCGTGTTTTCTGTTGCTCCACTCGGAGGTGAGATCCTTGATTACAGCGATCGCAGCAATCAATGTCTTTTGTTCAATGAAGAATCCCCTGAGTTGCCTCTCACATTAATTAGCTCTTATCGCTCCGTCAAGACACACACACACAGATAAACACTCAAATGTTGCTGCTGCAGAAAGTAAGCTCATCCCAGAGCGTGACGTCTTTGCTCTTTTTCTTCTTCTGTCGATGATGTTTTGCAGCCTAATTGGTGGCAGAATCAAAATAAAGGTGATTTGTTTTTGTTTTTTTGTTTTTTTTAAGCTGCCTGTGCCCACATGAAGAAGAAGAGGCGAGTGTTGTCATGGAGATCGCTGTCGGCCCCTGTGGGATTCTGAATTTGTGAGATGACCCTGTTGCTGGAGTGGCTGACATGGAAATAAAAAAAACATAACTGCTGACACGCTGTCTGATAAACTGTTGTTTGTAAACTGGACAACAGGGGCGAGGCCCTCTGAGGGCGGGTGTGAGGAGGAGATATCATGCCATGGGGAAAAGAGCAGCTCTGGAGAAACCTGCTGTCTATCATCATCCCATTATTATCGAATGGGCTTGTTTCCTTGGACCAAACTGCCAAAATGATCACATCCTGGACTCTGATGCCTGGAAGAATATTCTATGAAAGTATGCCAAACATCTTTGTAAACAGACTGAACAGCACCAGTACTTACAGATTACACAACTTGTTCTGTAGATGTAAATAAGAGCTCGCCAAGCACCCTGAAACATAAATCAGCTCAGAACAAAATGAGCACTAAGGAAAACTGTCTCTCCTGTGAGAAATGTGTTTGTCTTATCAATGCTTTTGACATAATAAATATAAATCTGTAACCCAAATGTTCAAACTCTGAGGTTCTCCTTTGATTGGTTTTGTTGGGTTTCCTCATAGTTTTTTTATTCCCTTAGTTCCATCGTAACTGAACTGTAATCTACAGTGTATCTGTATTTAAGACATGTTTTCCATTCTATTTCAATGTATTCTATGTTATCTGAAATAACAGGGATTTTATAATGCACTGTTTGGATTGTAATTCTCTTGTTTGTATTTTCTTATGCTTAGCAGAGTGTCTCTGCGTCTCACACAGAAGCACAAGGCAGCTCTCAGCATCTGCACGAGGCGATCGGACGTTCAACTTCATGTTGACTTAACCTTTCCATTTCAACAGCGGACGCTGAAAGACAAAGCTCTTAAAGTTGAAGGAAGTCGGAGAAAGTTGACATCGGGCAGAGGTGGTTGGAGAGTGAGTTTTGCACCAATAACAGAAAAAAAAACATCTCCAGAAAAGTTGAGCTCAAATCAAACCCCATGATGCTCTTCTTATCCTTTAACATGTTGATTTTTATTTTGCCACGTTGGAGAAGAAGTAAAAGGAGGCTACCAGTTGAATTTGACTCGTCGTAACAAGAATGACCTTGTGGGGTCTTAATTGGACACCAGAGGTTATCTGAAACGTTAAGTCTCACTAGTTGATGACCTGTGATGAGAACGCTCTGGTGAAGCACTTTGAATTGCAATTTAAATAAATAAAGCTTTAATTACAGAACACTTACTATTGGGATAAAAAGAGAAATGTGTCAATCCGATATGCTCAAGCTGAATCATTCCAACGCTTGGTTGACCAATTATTTTATAAATAAATGGATAAATGGACCCTTCAGCAGTGCTGGTATTTAATTTGTTGGGCCATCTTCCTTTATTAGAGAGGACAGCTGAAGAGAGACAGGAAACAGTGGGATGAGAGAGTGGGGGATGACATGCAGCAAAGGACGGAGGTTGGCTTCAAACACACGGCTGCTGAACTATAGCCGCCGCACATGGAGCATGTGGCATAACCGTCAGGCTGTCCAGCCCCCGAGCAGCGCTGGTATTTAAGACACCCAAAGTGTGAGTCCATGTCTGTTCACGTACAGCATCCGCCTAAACTCGGAAATGTTGAATCTTTCACCACGGATGTTCTATCGCCCTTTCATTTCGCTTGGTCCGTGTGGAAATTCTGAGCTGCACTCGGACAACTTTTCCACCCACGCGCACACACCCACACAAACATGTCTTGGCACACACATTGACTGCTCGGTACCAAGTGAGCATATGCACGTTGAAACGCCCACGCAGAGCTCTTATGAACCTTCCCCATCTAATGTTTATGCATCAAGCACAATCAAGACGAGGCAAACTGCGATGTGGGATCATTTAAAATCTTCTGCCTCTGTACGTGGGTAGGGAATATGTAAATGGGAGCTAATTTTTCATTGTAATGTGTGTGCAAGTAGTGGATGAGAGTGCTGGTGTTTTAGCACGTTGTGTGAGCGTAAGTAGAAATGTACTTGGGGATATGTGTGTGTGTGTGTGTGTGTGTGTGTGTGTGTGTGTGTGTGTGTGGACTTACAGGTACGCTGGGCTCTGACACTGCAATGCTGTCTGGGTACACAGTGGCCTTCACACACTGGTTGAGCGAGGCGGCAAAGCGGTACGGCTCATCTGCACGCTCACAGCGATTCTTCTGAGAACAGCTGCACAGAGAGGGGACAAGAGAAAGAGGTTACTGATATGTGGAACACAAAGAAAGTGATAGCCCCTTAAAATATTGTTTTTATTCTTATTGGGAGAAAAAAAAGAAAAAAACTCTGGAGAATGAATAAGTCGGAGGGAAAAGATGTGCTGCCAAAGCCACAACAGGAGCGAAAATAATTAAATTGAGTAAGAAAAAAGAAGGAAAAGAAGCACAACAATGAGGATTTAAATGAATACTCGTGCTACAATAAAACCCTGCAATGAAAACACTGGGTGACAACTTAAGTTGGGTGTTAAGAAAGACAAACTGCCTGCAGTGTGACAGAGATTAAAACCTTATCCTACTACGGAAGGAAGGGGAGGGAAAGATGAGGATTTAAGACGTCACAAGCACTATTTGAAAACACTGAAATTGGAACCTAAAGGAACGTTGAAAAACGGTATTAGGTACTGTATATATACAGCAGCATGAGAGGACAAAATAATAAGGCTGTGTCTCTGTGACAGGAACAACTACCTACAGTACACACTGTGTTTGTTTTAAAGGGTTTCTATTGGGGCTTTTTGTGCCTTTATCTTAAGGACAGGACAGTGGCTAGAGTTGGAAATCTGGGAGAAAGAGTGGGATGTGGGAAAGGAGCCACAGGTTGGATTTGAACCTGCGCCGTCCACTTAGGCTGCTGGTGCCCCTAACTACCTATATTCTAAAATATCAGTCACATTATCACACAAAGTCACATGTTAGTCCACCCTAACTCAACTGGACCCATTACTGTACCATTGATGAAAGATGATGTTATCTACATTTGGTTCTACACTGGTGGACATTTGAACTGATCACTAGCTACCTCTAGAATAAAATCCAATGGTCTTCCCTTCTCTACTACTAGGAGTGACTGTGGCTAAGTTGGTAGAGTCGGTTGTCTGGAAGTCTGGGAGTTCAATCCCCATCTCCTGCAGCTACATGTCCGATGTGTCCTTGTTGCTCGCACTGCTTCATCGGCGGCGTATGAATGTGTATGCCGGCTTGGATTAGTGACATCTGATGGTCACTATACAAAGCAACCTCTGCCATCAGTGTCCTTAAATCCATTTACCATTTACTTTTGTGCATGAGTATGACTGTTGCGCAGGAAAAATAATGGCTTTTGCTCTTATTAGAAGATTGGGGGTCAAGCCAAGGCACATCTAGTTTGAATGTCAAAATGCCATTGGGCAAGACACAGAACCTTAACATTTCATGCCAAGGATGTGCGTTCAGTATGCGAGTGTATGTGTGTGTGTGTGTGTGATGAAAATTAGAATGCAACCCTAAAATGTCCAAATTCAGTTCACTGACGTTGTTAAAAAGTGCTCTGAATGGTCAAAAGACTGCAGGTAGGAGAGTTTGCTCAGTGCAGTTGACTGTCAATAGAAGTCATTTTGATCGGGTTGTGTTGAGTAAAGCTGTGCCTGTGATAAACTCTAGAGTCTGTTTTAATTAAGTTGTAACCAGACGGTTTTCCTGTCTTGCCTCGTATAATAACATATGGCATGTTGAAGCAATTATATCAAAACAGCGTTACTTTGTTTGTTAGATTACTAAGAAACATTTACAAAAACATGTTCACTCTTGTAATGATGTGCATTTAATGGCACTCCTTCCATCAATAACAGCTGGTTTCAAGGATATGGAGCTCTATAACTTTTGCTGTATAGAACATTGCCCCCCGAGAAGCTGTGTATTCCCAATAAAACCACTAAAACAGAGTGATGGAAGCAGCAGCAGCGGAAGTACTTCCTCCAGTGGGTGATCTTAAAACACCAACTATGAAGCCACAGCATTGGGCTCTACACGCCCACATTATATTCTTCAATCACTGCTTAACGCTGGAGACTTAACTAGTGCAAATTACACAGCGTCCACACGTAAGAGATCTTAATGGTCAGACAGGGTATCTGGGACCACATGACACCCCCACATTTCCAGCACATCCCTCATTAAAACCTGTCCGCCCACGCCTTCTTATTAAAAGTGTGTGTTCCCTGCAGCCCATTACACCAAAGGCTCTCTATCCTCATCCAACCCGGCAGGCTAAGTGTCTGCCTAACTGCCCGTCTGGTCACAGCAGCTCTAATTGGACTCGGATGGGTCAGACGCTGTCCATGGTGCTGATGTGCCACTACAAGGCCTGTCCATTCTCCCCTGTCTGCATCGCTGTGTGTGTGTGTGTTACAGTCTATGGTCAGAGCCCATACCATGCTTCTTAACCACACACTCACACACATACCGACTCAAAAAGCTACATCTTCATCCACAGCCGCTGCGTGTGTGTGTGTGTGTGTGTGTGTGTGTGTAATTATGTTGTCAGAAGTTCAAGCCGTTTCCAGCAGACTCACATGAAGAAGCACAAGCGCACCAAGCTTCACATATACACACCACACACCACACACCACACACGCACACATAAAAACACTCGTATGCACAGTACTCCCCGGGGATTAAAGAGAGCAGGAAAGTGTAGAATTAGTGTAGTTGTGTGAATTTCCAGCTGGGAAAGGGCGGGCATGAGCAGCAGGTTTTTTTTCCTATTTTTAAAAATGATTACCTGGCTTCCCCTCCTTCACCACTCTGTTAACTGTATTTCTTCTTTTGAAATGTGACATTTTATGAATCCAACTCCTGGAGAAAAATTCTCTTGCTTTGCTTTTTTACACATTTGACTCCATCACTACTGCACTCCCACATTTCCTCTCCCCTAACCCCCTAACCTCTCTGTCCATTTCGCTCCTATTTGTCTTTTACACGATGATTTTAGTCCACCTTTCTTAAGCCGAGGTGTTACTCATTCTGCAATTTAATCCTAATTTTACATGATGATGGCACTGCTAGAGATGACAGGTGCAATGTTTTATGCATGTCTCCAAGCTGCTCTGGTGCAGATGCAAAAAAAAAAAAATCTGGCTGGTCATTAACCGACAAAAAGCCCCGCATTGATTTTCTTCACAGTAAAAAAAAAGAAAAAAAAAATGTCATTTCAGTTGGGGTAAAGTAAGATGAGCATGCAGCATGAGGGTGAGGAAGGGGGGGGGGGGTAGTAGCAGGATGGCTGGCTGCTGTTGCCATGGTTTCAGGAGATGGCCATTATCTCTGTGTAGTTAGAAGCTGACCCCTTGCCTCTCTCATTAGCTGAAGTGCATGCTACTGAGTGTTGACTGGAATTCTGCCTCCCTCATACTCCCCCTCCTGACCCCCCCCTCTCTCCCAGTGGACACCCTCCTTATCCCCCTGTCTGGCGCTGTCCTGTCACTCAAAAGCTTCATCAGTGCTTTGTATTCCATCACTCATTCCTGAAATGGGGCTTTCAAGAGGAAATAAGGTGATATATAAAGGTGATGCACACATTGAATGTTAAATATATAGTCTGTGTTTATATAAATATAAACACACATATACCCGTAAACATGAACACAAACTTAGTCATCCATGTTTATGCACAGATTGACAGTACAGATGCACACTTTTCCTCCAGACTGTCTCCTGTAATAAGCAGCTCACAGATATTTTTCCCTCCGGGGGCCCTCTGGAGGCAGTCAGCCCGGGTATTATGCTCTCTAAGCCCTGTCCATGGTGCTGAAGTAGCTGCTCGCACTTCCATCATTACTCCTCTCTGGCGTCAACAACTCCACTGCAGGTTATGACTGCAGTTATGAGTGGCAGCCACATTTTATGCAGTCATGTAAGGTGAGTGGGCATACAAAACTCCTCACACATAAAAAAAAAAAAAAAAAAGAAGAAAAGGGAAGGAGAGCACGTTGTTTTCTCCTGTGGCACTTTGTGTGGGCTGCAGCGCTGGAGTCGGAGCTCTGAAGTGCAAACACAATGTATGTATCCTAATATAGCACGTAACCTATATCTTCTATACCTACTATACAGAGGAATACAGGGCGCCCACACAGAAATCAACACTTGATGATCAGACAGGAAGACCAATGTTAACTCACATTTTATAACTCGAACATCTGGCTGTATTTTTTTATAGCTGCGTGAATATATACAGGCATTGTTTTCACTTTGAGTTTAAAAATGTCCCTTTTAGTGTTCAATGTAAACAAGCCTGGTCTTTATTTACCACAGAGGTCTTCTTCTACAAAAACAACAGACGCAGTGATTTAAAACTCGTAGGAGGGTCTGAGAGCTGAGCTGCCGCCGGCATGTTTTTCATTTCTTGAGGTTCTTTACAAGAAAGATGATCTCAGTGTTCGTTTTTTGAAGTCTTTTCCGTTTTCTAAAAATGCCCTCTATTTTAAAACAGGTGAAAACCTTTTTGAATGGCGCTCTTCCTTACGGACACAGAAGGACAGGATGGACTGGGAGCTGAGCTGCTGCTAGCTTGTTTGAAGGTAATTTAAGTTTCGAGGTTAGAAATCCTTGAGTATTTTGTTATACAAGACAATCATTTAAGACATTTTACTGGGAGCTGAATTAGTGGAAGAACTCTTTTTATCTTCAAATTCAACAAAGCCAGTGGAAAATCAGTAAGAAGTGTAAGTTTAACTGTTTAACATTTGGTGTCTTGTTGACACTCTATAGCACGGTTTCAGGAGCTGGAAGTAGAGTTATTTCAATTTTGTAAAAACATCAATGCAGGGCTTATTGTTGGTTAGTGACCAGCAGCCAGGTTTTTGCATCTGCACCCGTACAGCTCGCAACTTTAGGGCGTGAAGTGTAATATTCTGCCATTGTGGATGTAAAAGAAGCGCGAACTTACTGATGGAAACCCCACCCGCTTTCAGACAGGTGGAGTAATTTCAAGTTGTGAAATGCTAAAGTTGGAAAGTAGTAAGCTTGTAATGTTTAAATCTTTGGCTAATAACCAGTGCTATCAGAAAAATGAGATTCATCCTACATTTTAAATGAATGTAAATAAATAAATAATAAATAATAAATAAATCTTACAGGTAGACCGTCACACTTATGTAGGCTTAATAAGGAGTTTGGAGTGATGCCAAATGAACA